ATAGATAGATAGATAGATAGATAGATAGATAGATAGATAGATAGATGATAGATAGATGATAGATAGATAGATGATAGATATAGATGAGAGAGAGAGAGACAGAAAAGGAGATAATATTAACATGTACAGGTATGATGACATAATAATGTTGATATAATGACTGTAAGGTGTTGTAGAAGGAAAATAATATAAAAAAAGAAGGATCAAAATTTAGGTCTTTTAAAATGCTGTATTCTCATTCACTTGAATGTAGGTGGGACATTTTTATGGTCAAGGTCAGATAGATGCATATAGTCACCTATACATATAGTCTATATCGGTGGTAGTCAGGCTGGTCCCTACCACCCACTAGTGGGCGTTCCAGCTTTCATGGTGGGCGGTAGGGGTTTGCTGTAACTCTGCTTTATAAATTTTATAAAGTAAAGTTACTTCCCTACTTTGATTTATAAATCACCATTTAGGTGGGCGGTTAGAAAATTCTACTACTAACAGAGATACAAAAGTATCTACAAAAGTAGGTATAAAAAGGTTGACTACCCCTGGTCTATATGGTTGAAATAGGTGAAAAAATTATATCTATTGTAGCCATAAGATAGGTGTGTTGAGAAATTTTACTACAATCTGAATGAAAATTTAGCTGCAATCTGCATGAGAACTAACTTTTTGAAATCTTGAGGAAATTCAGCTAAAATTCAAGAGAATATTCTGATTTGGATTTACATACTGGGAAATTCTGAAAGTCCCAACATCTTAAAGTCAGTCTGTCTGTCTTTATAAAGCTGCCAATCTCACCAGAAGTGACTCTGCAACATCCAAAAATAAATAAAATCACAATATAAAAGCATTCATTATAACATTATAAAATATAAATATAAAATATAAAGAATTATTATTTAAAAATCATCAAAAAGTGAAGCATACAAACCACAAACGGGGGAAAATATGAAAACCACATTTCACCCATATTAAGGAAACTACTATAACTTGTCACTGATTTCCTAGGATCTCCAAATCTGGTGTCAAAGCCAAACCTCAAGGGCCTTCTTGCATATTAACAGTGAAGAAGGAAACCAAAATTTGGAGGGAAAATATTCCATAAGGTGGGCATCAAGCCCTGCCTCCTGGCACCATCAGATGTAGGTCCCTCACATATTCAAGTTTGAAAAACTCAGATACTCTGTCCTTTTGTCATTCTAATAATTTATTGGGTGCATTATGTTTGTGCTAAATCAACAGGCTTTGTGAAAGGCTGGCACAATTACATGAGTGTGTCTAGGGGGTATCACTCTCATTCTTGCACACATTTCATAGGGCAGGGACAATCAGTGGAATGCAGTGATGTCCCTATCACATTCCAAGTGTGCACAATTATTGTTAACTATTTAGTTCATTCCTTTAATGGCTTGTACGCCATTTCACAGATATGGAAAAGGGCTGCTATTTTCTATCGCTTTTTGTTGACTAGCTATAAACTCTGATAAATGTAATTAGACTTTGATCCTACATCATGTTTACTATAAAGTCATTTAAGATAGCTTAATTTCTTTTATTCTTGGTGTGCGTGGCAGAGTACATAGTTTGCCAGATGTCACCAGTAAGTTGCTTTTTTCATGGTTATGAAAAACATACAATTTTTTTTAGATGCTAAAATAATGTTGTAGTTTTGAAAGAATCTTGAAAATTGAGTCTCTTACTATTTCAGATTTCAGACATTGCGTCCATATTGTAGGCAGGAATTCATCCATTCAAAACAAAGAAACAAAAAACTCCAAACCCCTAGAAATGGATATCAGATGCTGATGTCCTGAGCAGAAGTGGGACAAAAATTGTAACATTGCCTAACATTTATTTTGGCATGATGCAGAAGTGGTTTGCCATTGGTCACTTCCAAGATGTTGGTTCAGTAGCTTGCTAATGCAAAATAGGATTTTACAGCTTTGGGGAACTCCAAAAGGAAAATGCTTTTTTAAGAAAATAGCTTTGGGGTGGGGTGGGGACCATTTGAGAATTGGACCAAAGGGCCATTCCATTCAGTGTTTTGATTGCTTGATTCAGATTGCTCCATGCCTTTGTTCCTAATTTCTTAATTGTATCATCATAAACATGTTAAGCTATTATTGCACCATTACCTGTTGATTCTGAGATCTGATTTGTGTTTTAAGTTGTCTTGTTTTTATTATTAATTGCTTCATTTTCCTTGCAGTTTAGTTCAGTTTGGTTCAGCAAATGATTCATTTCATTTTTCTCCCTTTTTTCCATTCAGAGTTTTCATTAAATCTCTTCCTTTCTCTTAATTTCTCATTCCTCCCTGCCCCCAAAGCAACACCATCATATTATTTGGGAATCAGTTCTCTTTCTTGGAGATCCTTCTGTTCAGCCAGAAATCTTTTATTCATTGATCTGAAACTGGCTACAATGGTTTTCCAGAGAACTCTATGGTTGAAAATGTCTTCAAATTATGTCCTCAAACAACCTACGTACAGGCATTTTCTTTTCAAACAATCAAAAATCACAGAAGTATAGTTTAAAATTCCTAAACATGTTTCAATGAATCTTGGCAGGATGCATTCCCTCATGCACTTTAATGTGTGTGGAAAAAATCCAAGTCTATTATAAGATAAAATTTAGAGCTGTTTATGTTGTTCCATATCTGCCAAGGGAACAAACAACAGCCCAATTTCTGAACCTCATTTTGGATTTGGCTATTGTCTTAAAGTACATAGACTGACTCCATTCAGAGCCCTGGAGAAACCTCTGAATGGAATTCTGTGGTCTCTTGTGGATTACTATAAATGGTCAGGAAATTATAGATATAATCACCTTGAGGAATATCCTGTTTTTTTCTGATAAAAGAGGATGGCAACAATTGAATCTGACATCTTTTGGAATGTAAAATTGGTCTGTAACTGAGCTGTAGCCTCTCTGGTAGGCATCTGATCAACATATATTTGTTTGCATATAAGCATGTGTCTTTCTTATCCAGGTGATGATCACTTGTACAGGAATAATGAGAGTGAGGAGGGGGAAACAAGTGATGATGTGGATGGAGCAGAATCTGAGTCTTATGCCAGGGTAAGGATAATTCATGTAATTTTTTTTCCATTCGTGTTTTACATAATGTGGAACTTCATTATTAAATCATATCATCCTTTTCCTCACTGTGCCCCCTTCTCCGAGTTTATCTGAGGAAAGGTGCTTTGGTTACTGTAGCTTTCTGACACAAATCTCTCTTGGTTTTGAACAGTCCAGACAAAAGTTCTGGTAACTTCGATACATTTCCAGAAATGTGCTCATGCCTCATGCATGTCTGAGTTCTCAAGGAAGGAATATTTTCCACTGTCTTCTTTCAAGATACTGTGTTTCCCCGAAAATAAGACAGGGTCTTATTTTCTTTTGGCCAACAAAATATGGGTTGGGCCTTATTATCAAAGGAAGGGCTTATTGTTTTGGGGTTGCCGGGCAGCTGCTCTCTTGTGAGTGGGCTCCCAAAGAGCCGGGCACAGCCTCAGGGGCGAACAGCAGCAGCCATGAAGTGACCACACTCATGAGCAGCCACCCTGCAAATTCCCTTTCCAGCTGGGCACAGTGCCATTCACTGACCTAGGGGTATCGCCAAGCCGCTTGAGCGCCTGTTTACCGGCTCCCGTGGCTTGGCGCCTTTGAAATGCCAGTGAATGGCGCTCTGCACAGCTGGAGAGGAGGGTTGCACGAGCGACTGTTCCGCTCGCACGCCTCCCAGCCTCACGATGCCCTTGCCCAGCTCTCCCTGCAGAACCAGGGCACCTCCGCTGCCGCCGCCCACTACCACCATCCCAGCATGGCTTTTTCTGCGGCTTCCAAACCGAGTCTTCCGGCAATGGCCGCTCTGGGTGTACGCTCTATGGTTGTACACTCTGGGTGTACGCTCTGCCGGCAGCTGACCCACAACCATAGAGCGTACTTCCAGAGCGGCCACTGCCGGAAGACTCAGCATCCTACTTTTGTGGTTTGGAAGCCGAAGAAAAAACTGTGCTGGGACAGCGGTGGTGGGTGGCAGCAGAGGTGCCCTGGCTCGGCAGAGAGAGTTGGGCAAGGGCATCGTGAGGCTGGGAGGCACAGCTCTTGCGCAACCCCCCTCTCCAGCCGTGCAGAACGCCATTCACTGGCAATTCACAGGCGCCAAGCTGCGGGAGCTGATAATATCCCTAGGTCAGTGAATGACGCTGTGCCCAGCTGGAAAGGGGGTTTGTCAGGTGGCTGCTCATGAGCGTGGTCGCTTCATGGCTGCTATAGTGCGCTGCTGCGACAGCGCAACACAGCCGTTCGCCCGAGGCTGTGCCTGGCTCTTTGGGAGCCTGCTCACAAGAGAGCAGCTGATACTCAATATCAAGAAGATAACTCTTTTTTTCAGACAAGAAAAAAGCAGTGAGGAATCTCAGCTGGTAAGAATCTTCTTTGAAGTTCA